TATATATATATATATATATATATATATAAATCACATGTACATATGTAACATGTTTTTGATAGTAGTTTCAATGTTTTGTATGTATATGTATGATCCTGGAAGTGATAAAAATGTAATTTAAAATTAAACAAAATACATTAAAAAGTAATATTTTGAAATATGATTACAACTTAAAATAACTGTTTTCTATTTTATATATAGTTTAAATTGACATTTACTCTGCTGAAAGCTGAATTTGCCCTTTTTTACTGTCACAGAACACAAAAGTTGAATTTTTGCAACATGCAAACAATAATTTATAACAACCACAGTGGTCAAGATTCAATAAGGACCAAATGCATTATAAAATAGTATGCATGTGCTATTTTACTTGTGAAGTACACTGTGATGATTCTTAAAAAATATATATATCTACAGAAAAAATAACAGCATTTAGGTTTGAACAACAGGAAGGTGAGTAATGAGAGAATTTAAAATTTTGTGTGAACGGTTCCTTTAAGACTGAACAGCTTTCTCTCTGAAATTACACTCAATACTACAATACTCAATACTAGCTGGCACAAAAGACCTTAAATCGTCAAACAACCGCCTGCAATGGATCTGCAGCAGAGCGCATGATGATGATGTTTATTTACGGGGCCATTTTGTTAAGTGTTGACAGTCCTAGGAGAAAGTCTCAAAACCTCTTTCCAGAAATAGTCGCATCTAAGAAACCATCTTCTTAAAAGCAGCAACAATACCTTAAGTACCTCAATGCAGTCGTTGCACTCTACTTTGTACTCGAATGACAAGAATGTAACAAGATGACAACTAGTCTTTAAAAACTGCTTGAGTAACTCACATCGGTCAAAGGCAAAAGTCAAGAAAATTTCACTGAAAATAAAAAAAAGTACTAACTGGAAGACCATTCATCGCAATGAAACATGCAGCAGACAATGTAATCACACACTGTCATGACAGATTCAGACAAAAATACAAGCCAAATACAAAGAAAAAACTCCAATATTACAGTTTTGGTTATTTGCAGTACAAGAGATTCAATCAATACAACAACAACAATGCATTAAGGAATATACCATGATATTATGGCAGCTCTAAACGATTCTCCATGTAAAGTTGTCCACAAGGCAAGTACAATTAGTGTATATTATTATAACTTATTTAATAAACTTGCGCAATCTGCCAAAGCTGCTCTGTCAGACTAGCTATTATCGTTAATGGGGCAAATCTCATTTAGGATCTGATGCGCCTCTTGTAGCTGGCAATCTGCCCTGAGAAAGAAGGGAATGATGTCATTCATTACCACCTGAAGAGTCGCAAGCACACGCCCACAACCACAAACAGCAGCATGCGGTTAAGAGGTGTGTTTCAGACCGCAGTGTTAAAAAATGTCTTCATTTCGGTTTGCCAGCCAGCAAGTTTGCAGAAATCATTATATCAACATGTTTACTCTTGATGGAAATGTATGCTGATCATAAAATAACCTGATTAAACATTTATGAAACATATATAAATACTAGAACTGTTATATGATTAATTCAGGCAATGACAGGAAGTTGTAATAATAGTGGAAGTGGAACTACTTATTAATATCTTTGGTGATGATGCTCATCTGACATCAGATCAGTTTAAAAAAAAAGATGTTTCTAAAAGTTATTTCTAAATGACTTAAGAGTATCTTTGCTTTAGGGTTAGCTAAACTTTTCCCATGGCTGCCAAGGGGTGAAAGTGAGGTAAAAAAGTGAGGTTACCGAGTTCACACACCCTTGAACATGCTGCGTAACCTTACAGGGTTCCCAAACTTTTTGACCCACACATTTCCATGAATTTTCTTTTAGCTTTCCTGTAATTTGTTAGAAGTTTACTTACAAACCATTTGGACTCAGTAATCTGAAGGTTCCTGAAAAGAATAAGATATCTTTATGGCTTGTAAGCAAGTACTCAACATAATTTAAACCCATGCATTGAAATATAGCCATATTTAGCCAGTGAAATATAGCATAGAGCAAACTATAAACATGTATATTCACTATATTAATTCCTTTTTCTAGGCCTGGAAAACACAACTATAACATTTCCTCAAAGTTCCAGGTTTTCCATGATTGTGGGAACCCTGACCCTAAGTTACTTATGGAGGCTTTTCCTACCAATGGTCATTTGGAAGTCACTTTGATCTAAAGAACTGACAATTCAAAAACTATTAGCCAGACCTAAATAAAACAGCTTATCAGTCGAATCCTGTGCAATGGATTTAAATGCAGTCAAACGTGTTAAATGGAGCTGAGTGTCCTACACTCTTATCAGTAGCTGAAAGCATCATCAAATTAACCAAATATTTAATAAACAAACATGCAAAGGGTGGGAAATGTGTATAATTGTGAATAACCGGCATCCCAGTTCCATGAAAATCTGCTGCGCTTTCTGTGCATTTCTACAGTCACAGATTCTCATGTCTACCCAGTACTGAACATCAGTGTGCATTTTTTTAAGACGAAAAAAAATGTATATGATATATCTGCTGCAATTGAAACTTTTCATGGATCCGTGCAGCAGTCAAAACTGTAACTTATTACAATGTATTTTTTGTTTCCATGTTCTTTTTTTTTTTTTTTATATAAGTGTGACCAGTTTAAATTCAAGACGTACGCAACATAAAGCTAATTCTTATAGCACATCACTATACAGAACAATAAATGCTATAGATAACGTTATTTATTTTAAAGCCGTGTGATTATTATCAGTGTTTTAAAGCTAGCAAGCATAAAAAGAACCAAACTAATGCCACTGGCAGAAATTGTACTAAATTCTAATATACTGCACACAAATGTTGTACTGGTGAATGCTTATTTAAAAAAAAAAAAACTACTATCATGAACATTTGACTTCGATAATGCAATGTCAAAGTACCAGACCAACTAAAAGCCTAAACGTGTTATTTTTTGCTACACAACTGCTGTCATAAATGAATCATCGGTGTTAACATTAGCGTGTACACACTTTTAAAACATACTTATAGTCATAACTGGCTTCTCCCTTCATCTGAGCTCAAATAGAGGTCACAGGTTTACAATCACCGAGGGCTGTGCAACTCAGTCCCTCCAACAGCAACACACACACACACACACACAAGTGTCTATTTAAACAATTCTTTACACATTTGAAATGCAAGTTAACCGCAAATTCAGTAAGACAACGAGAATGAGAGCAGATTCTGTTTACAACGCGTTGTGTTTTAAGACATACTTATAGTCATAACTGGCTTCTCCCTTCATCTGAGCTCAAACAGAGGTCACAGGTTTACAATCACCGAGGGCTGTGCAACTCAGTCCCTCCAACAGCAACACACACACACACACACAAGTGTCTATTTAAACAATTCTTTACACATTTGAAATGCAAGTTAACCGCAAATTCAGTAAGACAACGAGAATGAGAGCAGATTCTGTTTACAACGCGTTGTGCGTGTTTCACTCTTTTAGATCGCTAAACGATAATAGGCGTCGTGTAGTTATATTCTCGCCTGCAACGTTGGAACGGTAACAATCACTCGGCTCATTAAAGGGTTAAAATTAAACGCGCGTAAATGTATCAGACAGTGAACTGCAACTCCTGTTCTTTGTTTAAACTGAAGAGACAGAATTTTAAAAACCTGTTCTCGGGCAAGTTTCGCTCTCGCTCAGAAAACAAACAATCTTAAAACAATTTAAGATGAAATCGAAAAATAACAGACTAACGTTACAGATCGACTCGCATTATTGGATCGAGCTAAACTCGTTGGCTCCGACTAACATGCTGCTGTCAGTGATGCTTCACAGCACCTACGCGGCGAATACATCTGAACTTACTGGTTTTGGTCATGATGAATACAGTGCATGATAATGGCGAATGACATGCATGTTAACAATGTGCAGAGCAGCTCTGAATCTGCAATGTCTGGCTGATCATATGCAGCCTATAATTCCTCCAGCAGACACCAGAAAGGAAATGACCAGTTTTTACACATTTCAAAGCACTGATATAAGAGCAAATCTCGACGAATAGGCCCACGGCGCATAAAGGAAGGTAAAATGTGTTAAAGAAAAGCCGTTCGTGTTCGCAGACACCCACGGCTCACTACTACGACAACGTCCAGTCTGAGTCTGAGACGCAACCAAAGCGTGCGACGCACGCAGATCGAGTCCACATCGTGGAAAATACATCGAAATGGCTTTACGATCAAGCAAATCTTTTTGTACCGTTCACAAATATGTGTCAACCGAGCAGGCTAAATATAACTCCGCCTTCTTCTTCAAGCGGCCCTCGCTCTTCAGAGCAATACAAAATGTGCGCACGCGAGCAAAACGCTTCCATCCAAATCCACTCTTAAATAGTTGAACGAAATATTGCTGTTACCTGCCGTGAAACCAGTCTTTGCAGGCGTCGCATTCGATCATAAACTGGGTTACGTCGTAAGGTAGTCTGCAGATGCAATAGACGGGTACAGTCGCCATGTTAGATCAATTCACAACAACAGCCGGAGAGATGGATGGGGGCAGCAGGAACCTCCCGTAACACAAACTACAGCGATATGAAGAGCCGCGGAGCTGCTCCTACGTCCATTCGAACGTTCCCCCGATCAGACGTTACAATGTTACGATGTTAAAATGTTTCCCGCGCTGCATTGACGTGTGCATGCCCCCTGGTGACTATAAGAGCGCGGAGACTTTCATAAAGCCCAAGAAAATGCATCCTTTCATTGTAATATTGTTACGTCAGTCTACAAGACGGGAAAAATCGCCTCGGTCATGCTGGTCCAGATGAATGGAGCTCATTAAAGGCTTCGGCTGCTTCTCTCAGGGTTTCCCGGGACGATAGAAAGACGAAAAACCACCGCCAGGGATCTCCAGCCAACCGCCGAACCAGCTGCAGCAGAGTCTATGACACGTTAACAAGGTCTCGTGCAGTTATAGAAGTGAGGGGATTAAAAGAACAGGGGTTAGTTACAACTTTGACAAGCTGCTCATTTTTAACTATAGCTAGAAATACGGCATTGCGCAAACTAAAAGCAAGAAAGATGGTTAGTTAAGTCCGCTGCAGTTGTAAAACGAAATTTTTTTAATAGGAGAAAACGAAAGTCACAGGAAGAAATGTGGGGTTAATTAAAAACTAATACACAACACGCATATGATTTGTGAAAACATTCCACAGATACAGATTCCTTGCAAATGAATCAAAAGTCATACATATATTTTTTTAAATGTACCATCAGAGCATGGTCGAAATAACTCAAGTTTCGTGCCAATACATCAAAGTATTATAAAATAAATTAAAAAAAATAATTAATTAAAAATCACAATCAAAGTGACCGACTGGCAATATGACTGACCACCAAAGTTTGTCATTGCTACTTTGTATGACCAAAGGAAATTTAGTTTAAAAAAAAAAATGCAGACCAGAGGCCAGTGTCTATGATCAAATCTAGTTAGCTGCATATTAAAATAAAATTGGGTCAGCTGTGTTCACACAGTTCAGTTACAACTTGGTGCTAGATGGTCTGAGAAAGAGATTTGTTGTAGTGTTTAGACCTCGGCCTATCAGTCTGCTAAATGTCTTTTTTCTTTCTTTCTCAGGGCTGCTATAAAGTTAAACTCAGAAAGAGGAAGAAGAAACTAAGTTCTTGGTTTACAGAATACAAAATAGTTTAATAATTAGAAACAAATATTTAGAAAAATATTTACTAAGGTTTATATTTATACAATGTTTTTACAGGTTTTGTAAAGGTAAATTTAAGACTCTCTAATACCAAGTAAATCAAATTGAAGGGATAAGTTGAATGGAACACAATACGTTAATATGATCTCTAAATATAAATGTCTTGTATTAGCAATGCTTCAAAGTTTGAAAATACAACTTCCAACAAAATACAACTTTGCACCCAACCACTAGAATATGGAAATAACTTTTACTGTACCTTCTGATCACACTGCAAAAAAAAAAGTGATGTTCTTCCTGTATTTTGTTTGTCTTGTTTTCCAGTGCAAATGTCTAAAGCTTCTTATATTAAATTCTTAAATCTTGTATGAGAAATTGATCAATAAAGTAAGTTTATGACTACAAGAAAAACTGCCTGCCAATGGGCTCAGAAAAATCTAATTAATTCAAAGGAAACACAAGTTTTCATACCCCACTGACAGAAGTATGTTCTTGTTATAAGCATAAGCTCATCATTTTTTTTTTCAGATGACATCAGATGTTTAATCTGTAAATGTATCTTGATTTAAAGGGGTCATATGATGTGATTGAAATTTTTCCTTTCTCTTTGGAGTGTTACAAGCTCTTGGTGCATAAAGAAGATCTGTTAAGTTGCAAAGACTAAAGTCTCAAATCCAACACGCCCCCACATATCTACGTCACGATGTGGGAAGATTTGCATAACACCGCCCAAATGTTCAAGCAAAGAAAAGCGGCGTAACTTTTATTCTCGCTGTAGTATTGTAATTGCCGCCATGTCGTGAAGGCACTGTGTGATTCATTGTGAAAGCAAAACTACTTTGTTTGGCCTTCCAAAAGAGGACGAAATCTGCTTTGTCATGCCTGGAGCTGATCCGTGCTGGTTGCTGAGGAAATACAACAACTTTGCGCTGTGGATCGCCGGATCGGCTTTCACCGTGAACGAAGCGGAGTCCAGCCCGGGGTCGTCACATGTGGCTGCCGCAAGCCCTCCGGACGCTCCTTCGTCGAATCCACCGGCCGCGCCATTCTCAATCGCGCCCGCCGCCGCTCACTCTAGCCCCCGGCCTCTGCTCACTCTAGGCTGCTGCCGCTCACTCTAGCCCCCGGCCTCTGCTCACTCTCTACACCAAATACACAAAATAATGTTTTTTTAGCAACATATGACCCCTTTAATTACGTTAAGGTATTTGAACTGGAAAAGAAAAAAAAAAACAATAACTGTTTTGCATGAAAAAATTTTATGCCATGACAATAAGAATTTAGGCCTTATTTTGTGGCAGGGCAAATTAAGACTCTTTAAGACCTTTTTTAGACCCACAGAAACCCTGTTATCGAATATATATTGCCGTTTTCATGAAGCAAAAAGGTATTTTTTTAAAGAACATGACTTGACAGTTTATTCTCCAGCAGGGGGCTGGAAACATGTAGCACTGTAAAATCATGGAAAAAGGCAAGTGCAACCTGTAGTAGAATGAGTATATGTATATGAGTTGACATGTCATCAACCCTTAATAACACACATACACAAAGCAAATTATTCTAAAAGAATAAAGACTTTTATTAAGCATTGTAAGTTGCATTCAATTTCCTTCAAATACATCACACCACAATCCATCAACAATCACTCAAACCCAACAGTAGTTCATTCTTTTACAACCCATGAGTTAGGAAGAAACTCCGATCAACTTACATCAAGGTAACCTACTTAGACTTGCGGCAGGGGACTGAGGGGAATACACCAAATTTCTGATCACTAATGTGCAATGAAAAGCTTCAGGATTAGATGGAGAAGTAATGATTCTCGTTTAGAAGCACGTTTATAAGTTCTGAAAACACTAAAGTAAACATCAAAATGATTACAAGTGTACTTGTTTAGGCAAACTCTCAAATGGGAGGGTCGAATATTTCGCAAAACTTGTTTCGAGCTAAGAAAAGGGGGGACAATTTAAGATCAAAGCCTTTTTTTTTTTTTCAAAGATTGTTTTTTCAGAGATGATCTGATAGTATGAATGCAGAAAACAGCAACAGAGAATAATAATGTATACAGTGATGAGTACACCAGGATTAACAATATTTAAAGTGGCTAGATAATGTTGGAGTAAATACAACAGAGGTCAATAAATCACAAAAATAATAAACTTAAGGTTAGCGCAAATCAGTTACTGACTATCAGTTAACACCTTTTATAGGACTATTAATGATTATCACCCTTTTTAAATTTTGTAGATGGGCACAGTATTTGTAATGAAGAAGAAACAGGGCAACATGCATTATAACTACACACCATTTTGTTTTTTGTTTTTTTCATTTAATCGTGAGCCATGCAGTTTAGCTGAGACAGTTATACTAATGTGCTACGTTTGATTAAAGAAGCCACACTGATCGTTGATCTCTGATGCATGGCATTTTCTGACATGGAAAGAGACATTGTTTTTTTGTTTTTTTCAAGAGCTCAGATTTTTCTAACCATTTCTTGACATGTTACCTATAATTGCTAATGTATGACATTGAAATCATCAGAACTTAAGATGCAGTAGTAATACTAGTTACTCAATGTCAAAACAATTGCACATTTGAAACAAGTAAACTCACAGTGATGAGAAATGCGTTCTTGGATTTGTCTTTTTCAAACTGTGAGTTTTACGTTTTCAAAAAATAAAGAAGCATTTACTGTGACGATACAAACCCAGTTACAATGGCAAATATACTGTATATATGGTACTTGAATCTCAACTTACTAAAACTAAAAGACTGGCAAATGAAAAATCGGTATTTCGGTTTCTGCATTTCATCGAGAAAGTAAAATAATTTCATGTAACCAGTTTTGAAACATGTAATATCATTGATGAGGGAGAACACCGTCTTTCATCATTAAACTGGTAAGATTCTCTGTATGACTCGTATATCTACGTTTTACCGAGAGGTTTCCTCATCATTACTTTGTGGTTTTAACTCACTGACATCGAAGAGGGATTTCAAAAGTCCTCATTTAACACTTTCGGAGAGGAAAAAATGTACACCAACTGTAGGCCTTCCATCCTTCCAGATATTCCTTAACACATAACCTTCCATCAACCTTCACCCTCTCTATAAAAATAGGTTTACTCTTCTGTTTTTAAGACAGCTGCGCCCAGAGCTTCATCTCTGCGGCCCTCGCCATCTTCATTTAGTGCATTTAAATGAGGATTAGTATTGCACATTTTAGATTCGTTGCTAAAGGCACTTTCAGGTTGGTTTGTAGCTCTGCTTTCCCCTTCGTTCCCATTGAGCTGGTCTGCCTCTTTACCCTCCACCAAGCCATTCTCTGCAGCTGTGGACCCTTCTAAGGGCAGATGTGGTGTTTTGGTCTCCAACTTCGGCTTCTTTCTGTCTTTTAGCGCTTCATTGGTTGAGGCAGTATATGCAGGATTGCTCTGTTAAAATTAATTTTGTACCATTTTTTACTGTCAATGTCCATCAATCCAATCAAAAATTATGCCATCACTGATTTTTGAAAATAACTAAACACTGAATTTGAATAACTTCATATTATGACCCAGGACATGTGACCCCTGGAACCCCTGGAAGTCTCTTATGCTCACCAAGGCTGCATTTATTTGATCAAAAATACAGTAATACTGTGAAACATTACCATTTAAAATAACTGTTTTTTATTTTAGTATCTTTCAAAATGTTATTTATTTTTTGTGATGGCGTGGTTGAATTTTCAGCAGCCATTACTCCAACATACTGACCCCAAATTTTGAATAACAGTACAGGTGCATCTCAATAAATTAGAATGTTGTGGAAAAGTTCATTTATTTCAGTAATTCAATTCAAATTGTGAAACCTGTTGTTTCAAAATCTAAGAAAACAATATGTTTCACCTGGTATGTTCCCTGACTCTTGAACCCTCTAGTGTGGTATTTGGTTCCTCGACCAAAGGTCCTTATAACAGGAGTAGAAATCACAACTCTTGGACGACTGTTCAAAGAAAAGCAATCATTTCAATTAAAAAAAAAACAGATAGCAAGTCAATTTAGAATCCAGTATGGCCAAGTATTACTAACAGTAAAATATAAAAGTATTTTAAGATTATAAACATGATATTAGAGGACAGACAATTGCAAACATTACATTGCGAGTATTTATCTATAAACAATTTATCTAAAAAATTATTGAAAATGTATTGCTTACCCTCTGGTTGGTCCACCAACTGACACCACCTGAATGGGAAACGAGGCTCTTCCTCTTCCACGACGACTTCCAGCCCATTGACCCACCACTGTGCCTGCAATCTCAAGCTTACCACCCTGTGAGGGGATGGCTTGAAGTCCTACTTGAGAGGAATGAAATGAACAACATAACTTGAATAACTCTGAAGCAACTCCATCCTTAAAAGTCCAATCAAACAGGTTCAGCTGCTTCAGCTAATTACATCTAAGAGTGTACTGTATTTTAAGTCAGATCTTTGCAAAGAATTGATTGACCAAGTTCACAAAACCACTCAGTGATTTGTTTACCACTTTTACAACCTAGGAATAAACACGACTTACGCGGTATTATCATTTTTGTTGAAACATTTTCACAACTAAGCTACAAAATAATCAATTACTAATGAAGAGCTGTTTGGTATATGTTGCTTATGTTTGCCAACCAGTCTAACAATCATTCTTACCAGGCATGCCCCTGCCTCTACCCTGCAGTGGGGGCAGAGGAGGTGGAGGGTAGAAGGTGCTGTTGGGAGGGTAGAAAGGCATTGCGTGTGGAGGTGGAGGGGGGAATGCGAGCATCTGGGGTGGCCGAGAGAAGTTCAGACCCTCCAGGATGCTCTGACGCATCTTCTCCACCTTGGCAACTAGTTCAGTCTGGAGATCAAAAGAAGACGTGTAAATTTGAGCTTGGTTAGATTGCAAACCCAGATTTAAAAGTACAATTTCATCCTAATAAAAAAGTTATAACATTAATGTGAAACTAGCTATCAACCAATTCAACACTGTGGATTAATGGTTAACGGTTGAGTAAAGCAATAAATTACAGTGAGCTACAGCACCATAAACGAAAGTGCACTAAAGACTGAAAGCTCAAAGTAGCATTTCGCCTCCAAAAACATCTTTGTTAAACATTTTAAAGTAGAAAAAATATACATATTTGTTATAGAAATATATATTAATGATTGTGGTGCATTGTTTTGGATTCTGTGTTTTATACAATTATATTTACAGTGTAATATAAATGTATTTTATATACACACTACCGTTCAAAAGTATGGGGTCAAAAAGATTTAATGATTTTAAAAGAAGTCTCTTATGCTCACCAAGGCTGCATTTATTTGATCAAAAATACAATTTAAAAAAAAAGTAATATCGCCAAATAGCCTTTTACTTTTATTAAAAGCTTTTTTTCTATTTTAATATGTTATTAATTCCTGATATCGACACTGAATTTTCAGCAGCTCCAGTTTTCAGTGTCACATGATCCTTCAGAAATCATTCTAACATGCTGAATTGGTGCTTAAGAAACATTTCTTATTTTTGTCAGTGTTGAAAACAGTTGTATTGCTTGATATTTTTGTGGAAACCGTGATACATGTTTTTCAGGATTCTAAAGTTCAAAAGAACAGCATTCACTTGAAATATATATATTTTTAGAATTTATACATTAAAAAATGTAAAGTGTCCTTGCTGAATAACAGTATTAATTTCTTGACCTCAAACCTTTGAACAGTAGTAATATATACACATGATACAAATAAATTATTTAGTTTTTTTCCCTTAAAAGAGAACAAAATGGGTAAACATGTTACCAACAAAAAAGCACAAATTATTGACAAAGAATTACTAAATTTACTGACAGCCCTAGTTGAATTTCTTCAGCAACCCAAGGTTGTTTGTTTGTAATCTCAGGTATCAATTTAGTATCAATAATGAAGTACTAGAGGCTGCTAGTGTACTGAAACCAAAATTGGTTTCAATCCCTCCCTAGCACACAGTTCTACCATCAATCTTTTCTGCTGTAGTACTTCAATCCGGTGTGTCAGTTTGAGGTCGGCGTTAAATCATTCTGTCAGTAATGGTTTTGAACCTCTTATGCATGTAAAAAACGCAGTGGTGTTGTGCCGACTGTACCTGACCATCGCAGAGGTCAATGAGTGGGGCCTTGTCCCTGCTGGCCCGGATAAGTTTACTCTGTAGCAGCTTGCCATCAAAATACATCCACGGACAGCAGTGTTCCCAGGGAATAGGCTGTCCGCACACGTCATTGGCAAACAGTGCCATATCCACGCCGCTCATAAAAAGAGCAGCCAGCTGAACTCCGCGTGGATCCAGGTTATCAATCTGGAGGCGACAGATGCAGCGACAGTCAAACAAAGCTCTTAAGGTTAAATAAGCAGCTACATGTTAAACCACCCAGCAGATAACAACCCCTCCCCCTCAGCCAAAGCACAAAGCAAGCATGAACAAATCATAGTCTATCCATACATGTAGACTAATGCACAAACCACCCAAGCATATTCTGTCAGCGAGAGCAACCAGCAATGGCAGCAGCGAAGCAAAAAGCGTGTACAGAACTGACATGGACATGGACAGCCACGACACAGCACAGCTAGTGTGGATGGTTCACATTTTTTATGAGCTCATAGCCATACTGACTAAAATGAGCAAGGAAAAAGCAGCTCAGCTAGGCAAGTAAACCATCTACACAAAAAGACCACATTCCTAGCACTCAAGTTGCTTAAATGCCATGTCTTTTCCTGCAAAGCCGACTATCAGATGAAAATATGCTTTTACAAAGCATTAAGGCCAATCAGCCCGGCAAGCGTTCTTACAAAATAAGAAGTCTCCAGAAAAATACCCAAAACCCTACTTTTTGAAACACAAGAGGCTTGCTGCTTTAAATACTCTAACATATAAAAACATCTTTACCAGGTTATTAAATAAACTGGAAAGAACTGTGGCCCATTCACACCAAATCTGAATGTAAAGCACCATATACAAGCGTTAAAACAAATAATTTATCTATGAACTCCTTCACAGACTATTTATTTAATAATTTAAGTTCATTTTTAAATTAAATGAAAATCTTCAAAGGCTACAAACATTTTTTTGTTTGTATACCAAAAACAAATCCTAAAACAAAAACTTAATACAAAAATAAATAGTCATCATAATGAAAAATATTTGAATAAAAAAAAAATTTGAAAACTATATATAAATATAAAAAAAGAAGAAAAAAATAGAAAACTATATATAAAAACTATTTTAAAAATAGTTGTAGGGAAGAACATTTTTTACTTTCCTTCATTCATTTCATTTGCGCAAACAGCTCTTCATATTAACAACAGTTTGCAGATATCTTGAATTTTCGTGTATCATGTTCATGACAAAATTTATTCAGGTATTAATTTTTATTTTTTAGAGAGAGTCTGTGCGAATAATTTTGTGCACACATTTTTTTGTGAGTATTTTTGGTTCATGTAGTTAAGTTGCATATGCCTTGATGTGAACGGGCCTTTAATGTGGGTTTGTGGGTATTCTCTGGACACTCCTCATGCATCATTCTCCACATAAATCACCTTCAGGTCCTGCAGCTGGTCAGGCTCATAAAGTTTAGGAGAAAGTGCCTGAGCTAGGAAAGCGTCAAGTTCGTTACGACGCAAAATTCTTACTCCTGGCCATTGTAACATAAACCTGAAGTAAAACACAAAGGATTGAAATATTACAAAAAAAAACAAGAGCTGATACTGAAGGCCCTTTCTGCAAATAGATTAAACCATTTGTAATTGTAGGAAAGCATTTAACATAGCATTCCACAGTGTGTTTTATGTCTTTCCAAGATTTTAGAAGCTGTTTAGATTCTCACCGTAGCACGCAACACAGCACCATGAGAGGTGTGGGGACATTGGCAGGGTTCAGCATAGCTGGAGTGTCCGACCTCATGCAGGCCAAGAAAGCCCTCATCCTCCGGTTCTTGTCCTCCACTGCCTTGCCCAGCCAGAGTTTCTTCAGGTTTGGGCAGGTCCACTCCCGGAAGGGTAGAGCTTCAACTAGTTCAGGGGTGTGTGGAGATTTGCCTTTGTATGCAGCCCATTCTTTTATTATCACTGTTGGATCTAAAAAGGCAGATCAAAAAAGCTTAACAGGGGAATTCGCCAAAGCCATTTAAAAAAAACATTCCCTTTTTAAAATATTGAGGGTAAATGAACAAAGTTGATATCTTAACACAGGGTTCCTCAAATCTTGCCCTGGAGGGAGTTTAGCTCCAACCCTGATCAAACTCACCTACCTGTGGTTTTCTAATGATCCTGAAGACATTGATTAGCTTGCTCAGGTGTGTTTGATTAGGGTTAGAGCTAAACTCTGCAGGAAAGTGGATCTCGTGGGCCAGATTTGAGGATCCCTCTCTTAACATAAATAATTTTTGGGACATATCCAAATCTTCAGATTGGTGGATCATGGGTAGTAAAGTTTTTCCACTGTGAATTTGACAATTGACTGTTTTTGCCTAGTTGTGTAGCAATAGTATATATTTCTTAATTCCAGAGCTCATAGTAGATCTGCCTTGAAAGGTTCAGCGAAAATTTATATACAAATAAAAGGAATGTTTACTTCTGAATAACAGTGTTTCCCTGTTCTATTTTCATATCTTGTATTCTAATTTCCAATGATGGGAAAAAAGAACATCAGCATTAACAGAACTAATGTTAGTTTTTGAATGATGCTAATTATTGAAGAATAACAAGCCTAGAATAACAAGCTAATGTCAACACTCAAGTGCACTCTCTGAATAATTAAATCAGCCATCAACAGGCCCCTGGACAGAATTTAGGCATTAAGAGAAGGGTTGGGAACTGAGAACCGACTCTTACTTTGAGCCGATTCCAAGTATGTCAGAATACCTTTAACAATGCAGGAATATGCAAGAATCAAACAATAGTAACATTTATAAGATTCAAAACTCAGAACTGTCTATATTGTGATAATACTAGTTAGGCTTTTTCACTGATTTAAACGCAGGTTAATCCCAAGTGTGAATTTTTATTTTTAGGGGAGAAGATAATTAATTTTAACGTCATATCTGCATTCATGGAAAAAAGCAATAAATTCATACATTTTGAAAAATGTATAAAATTAAACAATAATAAAAAAAATAATTTAAACTTCAACATTATGAGAACTATACAAAATATTTTAGTGTAATACTGGACAAATTAAAAATGTGGACAACCTGTTATTGAAATAATAAATAATACCATTAGAGAAGATGACAAAACCAGTGATTATGTGTCAATGCTTCATGTAGATAGACTTATTCTGAAATATTTTCAAAATGTTGTAAAATTGGTCTGACTCAAGAATATTAATTACATTGAACAGATGGCTCCAAGAAGGTTATGTAACAATGTCGTAATTCTAAAATCTGCCAAACTGCCAATTGCTTATCAAATTGCATTGGTACTTCAAAAACACAAAAACTGGTGGTTCCAAAGCATTTTTTAACAAAAACACATACAAATGTTTAAGTTTTCCTTATTAGTGATACTTATGATTGTTTAAAAAGTTTGACTGTTGCAATTTAGCTGATCAGTTCTGTAACTCACAATCAGGGAGGTGATTTCTCCTCATGGCGAGTCTCTCTGCCTTCTTTTTGGCCTCGGCCAGGCTGAAGAGCACCCCGTAAACATATTGACGGATTGGCCGGTACAGCTGCACTGCAGAGGGCAGGTCTTTATTTGCTTCATCCTCTATGGTGACAGATAACTTTATCTCACCCTGCAAAAAATAACCATCAAACACTGACAACCATAACAGTTTAACAAGAAGTAGTTTCAAAGTTACAGCCGAGTTGCTAGTAACTAAAAGCTGACCTTGGTAAGAACATGGTAAATGTATGGGTACATGAGGCCCTTTTTGTGTCTGTGCTCAGCGACTCGTAACACCTCTGGTGCCACCACTGGTAAAGGAGGAGTGGTAATATCCATGTGATTTCTTGTTGGCATAGAAAGGAGGGATGGAATATGGGCATTGACCCCTACGTGACCTCTGCCCTCCAGGCCTTGGTTTACAGGGGAGGTCACAGAAGGATCAGACTGAAAGAGAAATCAAAGAATTCACTAAATGGATATAAAATTATTGTATCATGATTATCTATCAAAAGTTTTCTTTACCAAGCATATAATATTTTATCACAGAGCTAAAAAGTAAACCTACTTTATTTTGGTCTCCATGGTCTCCTTCTGGGATGTTATCCATCTGGTTTCTCTGTTTGTCCCATCCCTTATGGTCACTTACATGGCTACATTTGAGAATGAAATGGATGCACCAATATTAAAATTCAGCCAGATACCAATAAGCCATATTTTCATATTCTGCCCAATAACCGATTAACAGCCAATAGTAAAATTCTATAGTATTTTGTCTGAATAAATTAAAATTAAACAGTACAAATTTAAATAAACATTTTTGTTAAATGCTACATGATCTTTCAGAAATAATTATATTATGCTAATTTTGTGCTCAAGAAAGAATTCCTCTTATTATCAATATTGAAAATAGCTGCGCTGCTCAATATTTTTGTAAAAAGTTCAAAATATGATACGTTTTTCAGGATTGATTGATAAATAGAAAGTCAAAAGAAGAGTATTTATTTGAAAAAGAACTCTGTGGTAACAAAGTAAATGTCTTTACTGTCACTTTTGATCAATTTAATATGTCCTATATATACATATATACAGGCACATATTGTACATCCCTAATTAATATGAAAACAAAAAATGCATCAGATTTGAATGTTTATGTACGCAGAGACTGGTTAAGCAAAATGTATTTATGACATTGTAGAATATCTCAGTCAGTACAGCAAACAACACTTTCTATAGCAAAATCTATGGCTGTAATCATTCAAACAATAACTCTACCCACAAAACTACCTATACCCTCAAAACCTAGGTTCAATTTATGATTAGAAGAAAGCTGTTTTCAAAAGTCGACATATCCCACATACATTCCCATACATGTTCTCGGTTACTCACTTGGCAGTGGAGCCCGTGTTTTCCTCATTCTCAGAGGACGAGGATGTGGACGAGGTGGTGAAGAAGGCTGGGTCTGTGTGGTTGGAGTTGCCGCCGTGAACCGGGTTGATGGGGGACAACCTCTCGTAGAGTGGCGTGTGCTGCTTCCCATCATTAGGAATGTTGCTGTAGCTGTTCTGTTCTAGGAGCCCTTTACCTGACGGGTCCGCCTCATGGACAGGCTCGGCCAACGGAGGGCCGGAATAGCCATGCTGGACCTTGGAGAATGAACCGAAACATGTTTGTCAGTCTGAAGGGTAAGCGTGAATCATTGAGAATGGACCATAATGGTGGAATGGTGCTCACCCCAGGTTTGCCTGGAATGTTAAGCATCTGCGGTGCTGCTGGCAATCCCATCTGATTTGGTCTGACTGTGGGCCAAATGTAAAAAAAAAACAAAAAAAAAAAACAGTCTGGTTCAATCTCTGGAGCAAAAACTTAAAAAATGTAGAGGAACTTGGAAAGAAAAAACAGCCATTACCAGAAAAATATATATATATATATATATATAAAGCACTAACTGAGATTCTCATTATACCGCATCTCCACCCACCATCATACACCTTGATACATTCAAAATATGTGTAGGCACAGAGATGTAACGAGGTATATGAAACACAGCTCATGTCCATACCATTCTAACAACCAGAACATTTAAAATCATTCAAAAAGTAAATCTGCCTGAATTCAAATAAGCACAATTATAGTTCTACAAGACAACCACTATAATTGGTCAAACATGCTCTCACTAACTGGAAGATGTCGAATTTAATTCTTCTCTCATCTGATCATCTTCAATTGACAGCCTTTTAATGAACCTGTTAAAAGTTTTCAGGCAAGCGGAGCTGAGGAGAGTTTTTCCAGACTAGCAGCTCTCTGTGCAAGAGTCTTTTATAAAAAAGCGCATTTGTATGCACAGGGCACAGCGGCCATTTCCAGCGCAAACAAGGTCTGGGGCAAATGGGAAAATTTCTCACATTACTGTGAGGGCTGAGACTGAGAGATGGTTGAGAAAGAGAGAGCGTGCCTCTAAAACCTAGCCTCAAACACAGACAGGAAAACACAACACCAGGCGAGCATTAGTAGACTTGCCCCACTCCAAGAATTTAACAAGCACGAACCAACAGGAACAGATGTCATTCTGTGAGAGAGGGAAAATCAAAGATATTGACAATCTTACCTAAATAGGGGGGGAAGTGAAGGGGCTTGCTGGCGGTGGCAAAATACTCCACTGCTTTTTTGAAACGGACAACTTTGTCATCAGTTCGAGACTAGAATGCAAAGCCACAGAATTATCACATATTGTCTGTCCACAGCTCTTGTTAGTTGATAGTTCCCCCAAAAATGAACAATTTGTCATCCTTTACTCACACCACTGTTGTTCTAAACCAATATAACTTTATTTTGTCGAACACAAAAGAAGAAAACAAAACTGATTTTTTAATTTTTTGGTCCATACACTAAAAGTTCCTGTTGTCCAATTTGTTGTTTTGGACCCCATTGACTTTCATTGTATGGACAAAAAAAGCTGAATAATTCTTCTTCTGTGTTCTGTACAATTTGGGGGAAAATCTAATTGTGATTTGTCTAATAAAAATAGTGACTGCAGTTTAAAATGTCTTTTTTATGTTTTAAACCTGCAGGTTTGCTTTGCTTGTTTGTAGACCTTTATTATTTATATATATATATATATATATATATATATATATATATATATATATATATATATATATATATATATATATATATATATATATAATAAA